CTACACTTTCATATTCCCTTTTATCAGCCTGGATTAGTTCCAGCATTTGACGAAAGCTCCTGATAAGTCCTAGGGCCAACTTGAGAAACCCATCAACCTAAACCACCTGATTGCTCCGATTCATCCTGCAGCAGCGTCTACTTCTTCCGCTTTACCCCAAAACCACTCCATCAAAACCAATACCTCTTGCTACCCGACTTACCGAATTTGCGGATCACCTCTCCTATCTATCCATCTTCGGTGCTACTAGCTTCAGCGCGCTTAACTTCTACCCAAATATCGCCATAATCCATAATGGCTGGCACACGGAATTATGATTTCCTGGTCAGTATTCGTTCAAAACACAAATCCCCCCACAGAAAAAAGCCCAGTGTTAACTTTGTTATAGATTAAGCTGTTGTTGATCGGGGACTCTGGCGTGGGTAAATCATGTTGTCTGTTGCGATTCAGCGAAGACTCCTTTACCCCATCATTCATCACTACAATTGGGATTGACTTCAAAATCCGTACGATCGAGTTGGACGGCAAGAGGGTGAAGTTGCAGATTTGGGACACTGCAGGCCAGGAGCGCTTCCGCACTATCACGACGGCATATTACCGAGGTGCCATGGGTATTCTGCTGGTCTATGACGTGACAGATGAACGATCATTCCAAAGTAGGATTCTCTTCCCTTCCCCCCATCAGCTGAATGTGTGTCTTACCATTTTATTTAGACATTCGGACCTGGTTTTCAAACGTCGAGCAACATGCCAGTGAAGGTGTACACAAGATTCTCATTGGAAATAAGTGCGACTGGGAGGAGAAAAGGGCGGTTTCTATTGAACAAGGCCAGCAGCTCGCCGATGAACTCGGTATTCCCTTCCTCGAGGTTTCAGCCAAGAACAACATCAACATTGAGAAGGCATTCTACAGCCTTGCATCGGATATTAAGAAAGGGATGGACACTTCCAAGACTGAACAATCTGGTTCTCAGGGCGTTAATATAGACCAGCAAGGCTCCGGTCTGAATGGCAACTCTGGGGGCAAGTGTTGTTAGTTTATCACCCTTTTGTCTTTTTTTTTTTGTCCACGATCTCCTGTTTTTTCAAGCTACATGTTTCTTATTTCCCCTCTTTTCTTCTCTCGTTTTTGTGTTACATTATGTGCCAAGATCTGAATGTCCAAGTGTTATGCCTGAAGAAGTTGGCATGAACATCCGAGTATCATACAAATTTGTCCATATGCTGTTTTTGTTTTTTTGGGATACCGTAGTTTATGTCTATACATTTTATATTCAATCTATACATCTCTATAGGTTATACATGTGTACATAGCTTCAGATGTTAAGGGGGGGAAAAGGATAAATATGACTTGATTTTTGACTCCTAACGTTACTGTGATCATCCTCGACACTTATAAAAGCCCAGAAGGCAGAAGGCAAAAGAGAATAAAAATATATATCTGGATATTATCTGATCCACTTTCAAATCTCTATTTACTACTCTCTTTTCTCTAATCTTTATATTTTTTTCATATTTTTTTTCCAATAGCAAGTCTTTTGAGTATCTATTTTTCGGAGTTGCCCCTCCCCCACAAAAAAAAAAAAAAACCTGGATATTTTGGCAGTAAAACAATCCAAGCTTTTTAACATATTCGAGAGAAGACGTCTCCAAGATCAACTTTCTCTTTCTATAATGTCCGAAACCCGCCTTTTCACTGCTCGTCCATTGTCAAAGCAGCAGGCGCGGAAGGACCTGAAAGATGCATTTCGTGTCTATCTATCCTCCACTTCGCTAGCTGGTCTAAGGCTTCAAACAGAGAGCATCTGCACGCTGAAGCAAGGTGATGGCCCGCCACAGACTGCTATAGCATGGTATGCGTCAGAGAACATCCAGAGCACAGTCGTGCAAATATCAAGGACACTTCAGGATTGCTATGACATCAAGATCGGAGAGAAAGTTTCTATCACCAGGGCTGAAGGCTCCCTAGAAAACATCGACTTAGTGACATTGGCGGATTGTTCAGACCCCGAGAAAATTGCCAAACACGGCTCAATTTCAGAAAGCGACAGATCCCACTGGGAATGGGCCCTGGAGGAAAAACTTCTCCGATGCGGGTGTTTGACCACGGGCTTGGCTTTTGAACTGGAGCTCAAGGGCCAACTCAGGAGTTTTCGAGTGGTTAACATACATTCACAGAACCCTCACTCTAATCATACCCTTTTTCAATTCACAGAGGCTTCCAAGGTTTCCCTTGGCCCAGTCACAGAAAGAAAAGAAGAAAAATCATCAGGTATAGCGGTGCATTCTGCTGGTCTTGGAGGCCTCTCCCGCCAGATTGACGACATCAATGAAATATTGTCTGACTTTAACATTGATACGCGGAAGCCGACGATGCCCTCATTCTACGAGAACACTCGAGGGATTTTACTCTATGGACCAAAGGGGACAGGCAAAACAAGTCTTCTCGGACAGATCGAGAAGGCTGGCTGGAAACAAACATTCAAAATCGACATGTCAACGCTGGGCAGAAGTATCAACGAGGGCGAGCTTAAGCTGCGCAATATCTTCCAGGAGGCGGCTCGCTCTAACCCCAGTGTGATCATCATCGACCAGTTGGAATTTATTGCCCCCAAGCGAGCCTCAATTGAGTCTCAGTCCCTTGCGTCTGTCCTTTGCGAGAATCTAGATGCTATCCGAAATACATCGATCCTCGTGGTGGCCGCAACGAGAAACCCCAATCAAGTCGATGACGCCCTCAGAACGCCTCATCGACTTGGGACAGAAATTGAGATACAAGTCCCTACCGCTCAGGACCGAGCTGAGATACTCCATGCCATCCGTGGGCCAGTATCTGCCGGTTTGACCGACGAGCTTGTAGAACTACTAGCAGAAAAGACGCACGGATACGTTGGAGCTGACATATTCGCCCTTCTGCAATTGGTTTGTCGCAAAGCCCGACGACGAGAACTGTTTGGGCAGAATCCCACAGCCATATCGGCCAACCCGACCGACCCATTTAGCTGGCACCACGGAGGTTCCATCGATGATGATCCGGCCATCTCATTAGAGATACAAGAAGCAGATATTCTGCTTTCCCTGCAGGAAATTCGTCCCACAGCCATGCGGGAAGTGTTTTTGGAAACCCCAAAGGTGAGATGGTCAGACATCGGTGGACAGCATGATACCAAAAAACGCCTCCAACAAGCCGTTGAGAGACCCTTGAAGGTAAGATCTGTATTTGAATCCCAGAGAACCTTTGGTTTGAAAACTAATCTCTTTTTTTTAAAAAACCCCTAGTATCCCCAACGGATGAAGAGACTCAATGTGAAAAGTAAAAAAGGTGTCTTACTGTATGGGCCGCCAGGTTGTTCCAAAACATTAATGGTCAAAGCCCTAGCCACAGAGGCAGGGTTGAACTTCCTGGCAGTCAAGGGCGCAGAGATTCTCAGCATGTACGTTGGAGAGTCTGAGCGATCATTGAGAGAGATATTCAGAAAAGCCCGGGCAGCACGACCAAGTATCATATTCTTCGACGAGATTGATGCCATTGCTGCTCGACGCAGCAGTAGTTCGGGAGGAGTCAATCTTCTTACGACTTTGCTAAACGAAATGGACGGTATCGAGGAGCTCCGAAACGTGTTGGTCGTTGCTGCAACCAATAAGCCCGATGTCTTAGATCCTGCATTGATGCGACCCGGGCGATTAGACAATATTCTTTATATTGGCCCTCCGGACTTTGAGGCACGTCGGGAAATCTTGCGCATCTGGGCCAACAAGTCTGTGGTGAACCCAGAAGTCGACTTGGATAAGATGGCATCCCTGACCGATGGCTATTCTGGCGCCGAGATTGTGAGCATCTGTGAAACCGCTGGAGATGCAGCACTTGATGAGGAGGAGAAAACACAGCAGGAGCAAGATGTGCAGTGGAAACACTTTGAATATGCACTTGGACAAGTACGGCGGCAAATCACCGATACTGTCATCCAAGAGTATGAGAAATGGAGAGAGGGCTAGAGGTAAGATCAATACATATTCACATATGTGAACTTTACTGTATAATAAAAGTTGAAAAAGGTTATTAAAATTGAAGTTTGAAGTTGAAGTGCGTATAAAGTGTCCCTAGGTGATTACCGAATTAAGTTAGTTCCAAAATGAACATCCCTTCCCTCAACCTCTCCTTCACTTTCTGTCCCTCTCTCTCTCTCTCTCTTAGTATTCCAAGTTCTTCTTTTCTATCTCTTTTTGAATTTCCTCTTTCAGTTCTTATTTTATCTACCCCTGCTTATTCTACTTATTCAATTTGTACAGCTTGAAGACCTGGGATTATTTGGCGCGTGCGCTAAATCGCCAACATGTCCTTAAGATCACCTCGCGGACAATCACCTCTACGTTTACCGGACCAGGACCAGGACCAGGATCGAGCACGGTCGCGTTCATTACGTCTTTCAAAACTCCGAAGTGAAAGCCCATCCCGAAGCCTCACCCGAAGTCCATCGCAAGGACGACGCGATCGCTATCGTTCAAAAACCCGATCCAGATCCCCGTCGCGGGGCAGAACTCGATCTCGTAGTCACAGTCGGGGTGGTCGATGTTACAATAGCCGGAGCGAAAGCCGCTCACTTACTCCCAACCCCAGCCCTCCGAGAAGTTCCAAGGTAAGTGCTGGTTTATTTCTCTGATATGACTGTCCCACCTATTGGCGGCCACCATATCTATCAAATCAGAGCTGACCTTTCCCTCCTCAACAGATCGTGGTAGAAAAATTGACAAAAAATGTCACAGAAAATCACATCCGAGAGATCTTTGGGGGCTTTGGAGAGATAGAGTATCTCGACCTTCCGATCAATAAAGCTTGTAAGACTCGCTTTTTGACCCACACTTCGAAATTTGGCTGCCTCCTAACATTCGTACAGTCATGACAAATAGGGGGACTGCGTATATTCTTTACTACGACCCCGCTGACGCAGAAGCAGCCATTGCCCACATGCATGAGGCTCAGCTTGACGGGGCCATCTTGAATGTCTCAATCGTCCTCCCTCGCCGCAAATTCTCACGCTCGCCACCCCCTGCGTCAATTCGAGGGAATGGCGGTCGCCCAAGATACGGCCGAGGACCATATGCAGGCCCGTCATCCCCGCCCAGACGGCATGGAGGCGGTCGACCCACAGAGCGGCACGACATATATAGGCCCCAGACTTCATCAAGATCACGATCTCCTGTTCGTTCCCGGTCATACTCCTCTCGATCCCGGTCACCACCGCCACGCCGAGGTAGCCCTCGCACAGACTCACGGCATCACCGACGCCGGAGTCCAAGTTACAGCAGCTACGGTTACAGCAGTCGAAGTCGCAGTCCAAACCGGAACCGAGGCCACAACCGAAATTAAACATTGAACGATTTGCGGTCTTTTGTCTTGCTGTGTACTGGTTCAGCCCTCACGGGGGTTGCGCGTGATCTTCGGTGCGGGCAACTGAATTTCTCTCGCAAGATATCCAGAATAGTTAGGTCTACGCAACAGTCAACAAATCCACTACCACTTTTAGTGTAAGAATTACAAGATTTTGTGCCCCTTCCACCAGGTAGCCGATATGTGTACTAGGTTGTTAAGAATTAGTAAAGACACGTAGTTAGGTACTATACGGAACAGTGGTAGAAACAAATATAACAGCGGAAGACAGAAGAACTACACTTTTGTATAGATTACCGGAATAGAATTATCACCCCCAAAAGAAGATAAATCATCAGAAGAACGAACACCATCCGATGTACATTGACGCCAGTTTCTTTTTATCCGTTGCTTGTATGATCAGTTCATCCACCTGACCATCCACCGAAAGCGCAATGGGCTGCTTAGACATGAAACCACGGAGTTTGTTTCGAACATCTTCCAAAACGCCAGCTGGTGTGTCCGGGACATTCACATGGGTGCGACGCTGGAGTAAAGAAACTTGTCAGGAGCCGACTTGTTGAGAACCGGAGTTGAAATATACTCACCCTCTTCCCAATGAAATCGGTTGTTGGATCATGCAAAAATGTCTCGAGTACAGTCATCAAGGCATCCTCGTTTTGTCGCAGCAGGCTGAGCGTGATTTCACAAGTCCGTCTGAAGGGACCTATACCTTGGAGATTAGCGTGAGAGTAAAACTTGAGGATATCTTTCAAACTTACCATTATACCCGTAAGCACCAAAGGCATCGATCATGTTATGAGTCAATCGGAATGGTACCACCTCGGGCTTTTCAAAAGTTTGACCCTTGTCAAAGAGACAGTTGAAATCAACATGTAGGAGGCCGCCTGTTCCTTCTTCGAATGAAAGGTTTTCGCCATGTCGATCACCCAGACTATGCATATAAATTAAAATTGGTTAGCATGATGGGAACTGGGGCAATAGGCGAAAGCAGATAGAGAGCCCTCAAAGAGAGTACATACCCAAGGACATATCCCACCATTGACATCACAGCAGAAGACCGTGTATACCTTAGTCTCGCTGTAAACCATGCCTCTGTTTCAGGAAACATCTCGATGAACCATTCATGGAGAACTGGTGGGAGCCTGCAACTGTCAGTATAATGGATACACGGGTGATATCGATATGGAAGATTTACTTGGCCAGAATGTTAGTGGTGAATAAGGGTAACTTTGCGAATGATCGATCGGCGCAGATCTCGTTCAAATTATGCCTGATCTCATTGTACTATTGCACAGGTTAATAACAAAGCCTGGGTACGGTATTAGATGTGGGATGTGGTATGCCTACGTTTGGTGAAATGCCTCTTTCGCGCAGCAACTTGATGACGATCTCTCTCAGTGTGCGGAGGTTATCAACCCATTCAATAAGACCGCATTCCTCATTTAGAGGCGTCACAGCGTATGTTTTGATATCTGTTCCGGGTCAGCCTTTGGAATGGCCTTAATGTTCATCAAACCACTTACACATGCGCCGCTTGCTTGATTCGACGTCTCTCTTTAGGAACCGATTGATCATGTTGTTAAATTCCATGAGACGTTGATCCTTGCGTAAATCATCTTTGGGTTTGCAAAGCGCGTTATAGATTTTCCCATCAGATCCTCGCAGGCTGATTTTGCGTGGCTTTTGAAGCGAGTTCAAAATCTGTGCTTCGTCCAAAACAGCTAATTTCTGTTAGTTTGTCTTTGCGGGAAGTAGAAGTTGATAACCGTACCCTCAATAGTTGTTGGATCCCGAGGGAAGGCCCTGAAGCCTTTGATGTATTCGATGTTCTGACTGGCAGGGAGACTTGGGATCAACATTGCTTGGAAAGGTACCACTAATCGGCATGGCGCGACTTTGTGATTAAACCCTAAATTGCGACCGAGTTGAACTCGAGATGACTTTTCCTCCACCGGAGCAAGGCAGAGTTGAAGTAATTCCTCCGAGAACTTTGTACCTTGAGTAATCATGCGACGGATTTCCGACGCCGTTGAGGATTCTCCCTTTGACTTGTTACCGTAGTCCTGAACAAGTTATTTTCTTGTACTCTGTTTTGGACGGACGGTACTTACTATGATTTTCTGCAGGCAATGATATCCCCTTTTAGCTCGCTCCTTATTGGATGACTTGACAACGGCAAGGACCGTCCAGAGACCTTGCTGTGGGAAGTTGTGAACCGCTTTGGCTACAATCCGCGTTAACAGATCATAGACTGTGATGTTAGGGTGGCAGATCCTGGCAACCACTTGGGGAAGGATTGTGAACAACTACAAACTGTCAGCGAGTTATCCGGGAAAATCACATCTCGTAAACCCACCAAAGCCGCTTGTAAGCGCTTGTCGATGAATTTCTTCAGTTGTGCATGCATATCATCGAGGCTTTTCTTGCGTTGCGCTTGTGTATGCTTTTGAAATTCCCTAGTGTGTGGTGAACCGCTTATTAGCAATAGTTTACCAATAGCCACACCAGTAAACTCTCTCTTACTCGTTATCGCCTCTTTTCGGATCAATGGGCTGTTCAACAATCGAGGCATGTTCGAGCCAGAGGGTCAGAAGCTTGGGTAAAGTCTGGAAGACATATTTGGTCCCATATGTCAGCGAGCGAAGATAGTTATCAATGACAAGCTTTGTGGCTTCTCCACTCAGGCTGCGATATTGGTCAGTATCAGGTAGGGAATGGGAGGTCTGGTAACTGACTATATTTGAGCTTCTTTTCCCATGGGCTTGGCCTTCTCAGACTCCAAAATTTTGTTGTAATGTTTCCCCAGGTAATAATGTGCCCTTTCCCACCTGTTTTCCCGTTAACACCGACCGCATCATACCGGTGATAGTCCAACTTACTTTGGATACAGCTTGATGGCCTCCCGGTATCTCTGAACAATCGCCTGAGAGTGCGTCTGGCCAGCCCTGTCTGTCCATTTGGCTAGCATAAGATGGGCCTAGACGAGTAAGTATTCTTCTCCATATGAACTGTATTGGGTAACTTACAAGAGCAGTAGATTCATTTTGATGTTGCCCACGACCTGAAAGAAACGACATGGCTTCAATTTCGACCGAAGAAGATGTACTCGGGGTAACTTCGTTGGCAGAAATCGCACCCTCTAGAGTCTGAATGGCTTTTCGATGGTGCCCGTCTTTCCAGAGGAGTCGCGCGTGTTCGATGGAAGCAGATCTGTCTTTCAACCGTGCTGCATTGAGCATCGAGTGATACGCTTGACTGCTGAAATTGCCTTTTCTTGAAAGACGAGCACTAGTGAGCCATGCAGCGGATATATCAGAATCCGCAAATTCGCCCCTGTATTGTGGTTTTAGCTGTCTGTTTCATGCTTTCTGGATCATGGACTCACGTTAGCTCCATTGCGGCTCGTCTCAATCCCAATAGGTATTGTTTATCGGTAAGATAGCCACCCAAAACATCCAAGCGTCGGTCTAGGGCACCTAGCAGGCTCGGGTGCGATTGACCTGATTGTGCTTTAGCAATGGATTCGACCTCCGACAAAGCATGTAACTGGAGCATGTCATCATGACATGCTTGTAGTGATGCCACCGAGTTTGTGGTTAGTGATCGGGCAACGTTGAGCCTGAGCTCGTTGATTTTATCAGTAAATGCCTCAGCCTGCTTTCGACGAAGAGCATCAAGAGCTGAGCCTATCCCAACGTTGAAATCTTCGGTTTCTTGTTTGGCACAAAGGTCAAGATAACCCTCTAGCTTATCCCATCTACCCATTATCCATGAAGCTTCAACCGCAAAGGGCAGAAACCGTGAAGCCGCTGACTCATTTTCTTTGAGAACCTCGAAACGAGTCAGAATAGCATCTAGAAAACGGTGAGCAAGACGATAGAGCATGCAGAAACTGTCTCATGTTTGATCTTACCTTGCTGGCCAGATTCTTTGAGACAGGTCACAAGGTTCCATTGCGCATCGACATTGTCAGGCTCCTTCTCGAGTTGTAGCTCGTACCAACTCTGCGCCGTGGCCCATCTCCCAGCTTTCCGGTGCTCAAGGATCTGCTGGTCAATGTCTAGTGCAGACAAATGGCTTGAAATGCCTTCGATTCCATCAGGTTCGTCAATCTGGCTATAGATATCTTGTAATCTTTGGTATAGAGGCTCGAGGCTGGATCGCTCCTGTGATTCTCCCTGAATCTTGGATTTTCGAATATACTGTTCCCAGTGGAAAAGTGCTTTGGAGAATGATTTACATTCAACAGCTCGCCTAGAGATGATCTCTGGCGGTATTGAGGATAAGAGATTTTCGACAGACTTGATCTGTGATGAGTATTTATCAATGAGCGCGTCGCGGCTTGGATCTTTATGGGAACGACTCGTTTGGTTGGAATTGTGGTTGAGGCCATTGAGATGCTTTTTCTTTCCTTGTAGCCATCTAGACAGGTAGTCTAGCACTTCGAAAACGCTCTGCCGTCGAAGTAAGGGTTATTGTCAATAATAGGAAACTTAGTTCGATTCCACCGGGATTCTCACCTGGCTACTGCTGATGATTGTCTCCCGAGCATTGTTATTTGTCTCCGGTATAGGATGTGAAAGAACACTCATCAATTCGTGTTGAAGATTTTGTTGTTCTTGTTCGGTCCCACCCACGATGCGATTCAGGACCGCGAATGGTAAAAGGAACGAAGAGATGGAAATGTCTTGACCCTTCACAACACGACTCGATATTGAGAAGACCATTTTTGCGTTGTCTCCATTCCCAGTTTGTAGAAGATCTTGCACCAGTGTGCGAAGCCACTCACTGTGAGTCAATTTAGGAGAAAAGAGCGGATAGTTGACCTCAGTATGATTGGCTACGACAGTGACCGTATAGGTAGATGTAAGAAAAGGCGTAAGAGTGTTGCGAACACTTTCCGGAAGTTCCATCCAGCGTTGATACTTCTCATCGCCTTGCAAATCGCGAGAGCGTTGGGTTAACACCGCATTCAGTTTGCAAAATTTGAGCAGGCCTTGCATGGCCCATGCCAGAAACCCCTGGGCCCTAGTATTGGAAGCAGACAAGAATGCCTCGACCAAAACATGCTGGAGGAAGAAAAGAATGAATGCGACTGTTTCTTCCATTCTGTCAAAGTTGGACAAAACAAGTATATCCTTCTTCTCTTTGATGGTTTCAACTCGGTTTGGATCGAGACAGCCGACAAGCCCCAGGCATCGAGCCGACAGTAGAGTAATGCTATCTGAGGTGTTACTGAACTTAACACAACAATCCAGCAATGACCTAGTTAGCTGAGCAATCACAGGGTCAGGTTGTTCACTCAGAACAGAGTCATGGAGAAACTCCTCATTTTCTGACAGAAAAGGGGCCAATTCCATTAGAGCTTGCTCAACAACGGTGGCATTCTCACTCTGGCAGCGACGAATTAACGCCAGAAACTGGCTTCGAACGTCCATTTGTGCTCTCAGGTCATTGACTTTGGCATCAAAGGCAGCCATCTCCGGGATGGATGCAAGCGAAGGCATGGTGTCGAAGGTATCTCGTACAAGACCCGAGTGATTCGTTAAGATATGATCGATGAGTTGACATGCGCGGTTCCTGCTCTCTTCAGTTAGATTATCCCAATATCTAATCACAATCGCTAGGGTTTGATCAATTATTGGCTCAAGGTCCTCTTCACTGAGAGAACTGATCAATGTCTTCCACGCGGAGAATGCATAATCGCACAGTTCCTCGATCTCCAGCGCGGATCGAAGACATGCACAAACCTGCGATATTTAGTAATGAAAAATTGACTGATTCGCAGGGTCGTATACATACTTGAGGCAATGCACTGCTAACATGACCCTGGGCGATGTTGATCATTTCTTCTATGGCTTTGATGTTTCTTCTCTTCTCTGCTAACGTTTGTCTAACTTGGAAGTCGTTAATCGCATTTGCGAATTGCGTGATAATACCGAGAACGTGCTCCTCAATGAAGTGGCTTAGATCCGCTTTCTTTGACGAACTTCTATGTGCAATCTTTCGCGGAACAAATGTGGCTAATCGATGGAGGGCTTGGTTGAACTAAAGGGACTCTCATTAGCGATGCAGAAGGGACGGGAAAAAATGAGAACATACCCTTTCTTTTTTTTGCTCACCTGCATCGCCCAGGCTCTTCAGCAAGTCACAAGCAATGAGAATTGGTTCAATCCTCACCAACTCCGCCAAAGATCGACCCTTGAATGCGGGATCTATCTCTGCTAAAAGGGACATGATCATACCCTCCGGGTTGTCTGATTGCTGAGACAGGAGGAAAGCGAGGATTGCAGCCAGATTATTCTTCTCCGAGCAAACATCAAAAGCAGATTCGCCTTCGTTGCGACTAGCTCCAATCCTGCAAATAATGTCTCGTTTTCTTGTCAAAACCAGATAGGGCAAGACATGGACTTCTGTCAACCGTAGAAACCCATCAACCTTCATGCCAAGCAAATCACATAGCTGTTCAGCCATATACGGGCGAGATTGCAGGTTCTTGACTACAGTCACCGAAAGAGTCCTCCAGTAAGGCCGAAAGAGACCAGCAGGAGTCAAGGAAAATCGTTGGGCAAGTTTGGATAACTAAATTCAGAGGTAAGCTGTCACCATACCTGTTGAAATGAAGAGCAAAGTAATTAGAAGTATGATCCGGGGATACTCACTTCGTTGTATGCTACGGCGCAAATGTAGGGGTTTGGATGACCAAGGTACTCCAAGAGCCGAAGGAGAATGATGTTCTTCTCTTCGTCCTCCGAGACACTATATATAATAAATCGTGAGATAAAGTAACAAAATTTTGGGAAGTAGAAACGCACGTTGCCAGCCCACAGAGTGTTATGATACAAGCTTCCTGTAACGGCATATCATCTTTTCCGGAAAGATTTTTAAGCCACTCAAGAATAACAACGAAATTAGCCCGACGGATATCTCCTGGTAGATTTGAGCGCACGAAAGCTACCACTGAATGTCTATAGAATTGTCAGTATCCACTATGCCTTTAATGGCTATGAAACGCACCCGGTTGCAACACGCAATTCTCTGATTGAACTCCGGAGCGAGTGAAGACAAAACTCTCCGGCGGCAGAGTTTGAAATATGCATTTGATTGGAGTTTGGGGCGTGCATCAGAATTCTCCTGAGTGCAACCATTGCAGATATCCGAGGGCCAGGCGTGCGCGTAAGCCTGGGTAGGATGTAATTGAATAGTGACCATATCTCCTCAAATCCAGGATGCTCCTCATTTCTCGCACGATCATTCTGATACTGATATGTATCACATGTTGGGCAAAAGAGCATGTCGCGCTTTATGACATCCGAGGGCTTTCTCAAAAGCTTCTCTGCCATTGCACAGCAAATTTTACCTAGGGTGTCCAATAGCTCTGTTTTTCTGGATTCAGAAAGTTCCTCATAGGATATTCTTTTGCACAAATAAATCAGCAATTTATACCTCAAGGGGCATCCCTTTGTCCACTTACTGGATGGAGGTGCGCAGATCTGCCATCGTTTTGCCACAGTCGGATTCAAGGATCGCTGATATATTCCCCACAAGCAAATGAAACAGGCCATGATTGGTGGACCTTATCGGTAGACCTGGAAGACAGAGCCGTTTCGAAGCCCGGGCATATTCATTCGGATTCGCCTGGTGTAAAACCCCGCCTCTCAATGCCGTATCTGACTCCTCAAAAACATCCCCTGGTAACGCTTTGGGCGAGCACACTGTCAAAGGCAGTGCTGTATCTAGAAGCTGGGAATACAAGGTCTGAAGAGGACTCTGATCTGGCATTAGTTCGGCAGCCCACCTGTGCTACATATGAGAGAAAACTCACCCAGAGACACGACTCAAGGGACTGGAAGTTGGAATTGCCATCTCTAACTTCTGTCAACACTGGAAGCAGGGCTTCCCTCAATTGCTGCGCCAGAGGTTGAGAGGACTTTGCAGTCTCTATCAAATCAAACACGAAGCGACTTAGGATAACTTGGACAGAAGGCAGTTTCCCTATATTCTCAAGGCCCAGAAAGCCACACAGGCATTGAGACCAAGTAGAAGTCAGGCTCATGTTTGAAAGTAGCCCAGCCAAAGTCGATTCTGGTAAGCAGCATTGGTACAAATATGTCAAATATTGCAAAGGCACAGTTTCATCTTCCGGGGTGAGTTGTGCTCCTTTTATTTGCAGCCACTCAATAATAACCCGTCGAAGGCGATGAAAACCATTTAGTACCCACGAGAAGTTTTGGCGGAGGATGAAATCATGATGTTTTGCACGGTATTGCACTTCGCCCTTCGGAAAAAATGAATCAAGCAATCGACATGCCAGAGAAACTGTCTGCGCAAAGCCTCCAAGGGCCGTGTTGCTCTTGAATAATCCAGGGGAGAGGCCTAGGTTTTGGATGTCCTCAATAAGGGATCCATCTACGGCAGGTATCGACAACTCGGGTGTATCCCAGGAATTGTTATGTTGAAATGTTTCAAGTGAGCACAAAATATCTAGCGACCGTTAGTTTTGCCCAAGGTTCTACATCATCAGGCCAAGGAACGGACCTGACGTGCAAGCTCGCAGAAATGCAGCAACGGCATAGCCTGCAGGTAATAATCGGGCTTGCTTGAACTGAGAATAAGCTAGGCTCGCGTAAAGAAGTTGGACCTTTTCTCGAACAGTTTCGGATGTCCAGGTGGTGGCGAGTCGGATCAATCGTAGGGTTAACCATGCGAATAGAGGGGCATGTATGTCCTCGCCCAGGATCAAAGGGTCAGAGGATTCCCACAGAGCTTGGGGGGCTTTCTCAATGCTCGCTTGAATGATATCTAAGCAATCTAGAACTTGCCCTTCCAGATCTTGCTCTGATTCGCTCCCGTTCGGGCTAATCTCTAGGCCGGCCTTTAAGACAATGCATATGAGTTTGTTGACATCAGTGACATCTTCGTCAACGCGTAGTTGGGTCTGTATTTCATTAAGAAGTTCCTGGCGAAGCTGTGCAAATGTTTCCCGGGTTATGTGTGATTCATTTCCCTGGGTTGCAAGATGCGGTACGAAACGCGAAGCAAGGATAGACGAGGCAGGTTCAGCTCTCCAAGCGTGCCCAGGCGCGGTGGCCCGTTCATTCTCTCCCTCGGTTGCCATATGGGACACGCATGTTCATATCAGGTTTGAAATTTCAGTTCCTCGTGTTTAAACAATTTCTGAGCCTGGGTTGTGTTCGTGTGGATGTTTGAAGTGCGCAGATACGCGGGGAGACTTGATATGTCGATTGACACCTGAGGCACCAAGTATCCACCATTATATGCGCGCATACATTCTGCAATATTATCAGAGCTTATAATGAATCACGGTTTACAATCCTGTAAATTGGCCTTATATCAATTCAAAGGAGTAGTGGTATTGGTGAGGTCTTCGACATATGCGGTGATTTGAATTTAAAATCGGCCACCGTACGTATTTGTAGAAAATATAAGAATAAACTGGAATATTCAAAATCAAGACATGTTATATAATCCAAGAGAGTCAAGAGAAATTCCCATATAAATATTCATTGCATCATGCTGGACCTTGGACTGTGGCTCAAAAGTTTGTCAACCTCACCTAGAAATTTCGGGTGCCACTGGTCTTTTACCCTCTTCTGACTCCTTCACTTCCTCACAATGAGATACCTGACTAGTCACTGGAGTCAACTCAAATAAGTATAAAATCTTCTCTAGAGAGGAGAACTATCGAATTGGCTATGGAGTTCCAGGGTGACTCCGTGGTGGCGGAGGATTCGAGACATGGACAATTCATGAGACAAGCTTTGTTGATGGTACGAAACTTCTTGATGCCGAGGAATGAAACATGCTCATTCAGATACCAGGGCGAGAAGGCTCTTCAGTCAGGCGAAACTCCCGTTGGTTGCGTTCTGGTCTACAATGATCAAATTGTGGGATTTGGCATGAATGACACAAATAGATCTATGAATGTGGGTGACTTCTAAAGATCTCAATGTGTAGAAACCGCTGACAAATCTCCAGGGAACGAGACATGCCGAGTTTATAGCAATTGCAGAGATGCTCCAGAGCTACCCTAGGTCAGCATTGCAGTCTACTGATCTCTACGTCACGGTCGAACCCTGCGTTATGTGCGCTTCTGCGCTAAAGCAATATCGCATCCGCAGTGTGTACTTTGGGTGCGCCAATGATCGATTTGGAGGCACTGGAGGTGTTCTTTCATTACATTCCGAGTTAGTACATATTAACACCGGTAACTGATCGTGTAAGGCTGATTGGACACAGCTACTCAATTGACCCATCATACCCTGTCTACGGTGGGTTGTTTGAGAAAGAAGCAATTATGTTGCTCCGTCGTTTCTATATACAGGAGAACGAAAAAGGTAGGAGTTGGGACGCACAAACCCTAACCTTGATTACCTGCTGATTACATGGCAGCTCCTAACCCCAGACCGAAGAAGAATCGAGAGTTGAACACCAAATTCGAAGATGGCAATGGAGAAGTGCTAGCAACCTGGTAAACTGCAAGGCTCGGTCGGATTTGGGATGTTTCCAACCATTTTACTACGCAATACCTTCAGGGCTAGATTGAGTCCGCTTCTGATACAGCCAGGGAATCATTAGATTTAGGGGGCTTCTCCATATAAATATAAAAAGCGTTAGGGTTGATCAGAACTGGAATCTGTATTGCGAATATCAATTGCGCCCCCAAAAACACACACAAAATCGGGTATGTGTACAAATCTGCAACATTGAACGGAAAGGCTGCCCATCATTCTTTTCTTCTTTCTAGCTGATGGTATATATTCATGAGGAGCCAGTACGCTCTGCCTCCAATTCCTGCTCGGCCTGCTGGTAGTATTTGGCAGTGTCCACGCCATGCTGATACAAAAACAATTAACATTGTGCTTCTCAGATTGACTTGAATGTAGTACTTACTTGATCATGGTTGACAAAGTTGAACCATGGGACAACATGGATGAAAAGTTCTGAGTACCGCGAGTTGCGGGCTGCCATGCCTTGTAGATTGGACGACATTTGGGATTTACCGTACAGAGGCTCGCCCTTCTTGACCTTGTCGACCATCTCACGAGTATCCATTTCAACCTCTCTAGCATTCTCGGTGAAGCCGTAAAAGCGCTCTGTGAAGGTGTGAGTTGAGACGTCATCTAGAAAAAAAGCGGGTAGGGATTCCGGTGGAGGGATATGGCTTACGGCAGGATCGCTGATAGAGGACATGGAGACCACCGAGCAGACCAACAGCTGTGGCGAGTCGCATAACGGGAGCGAAGCCACCACGGCCTACATGCGACGGGCTTGCTCTTTCCATGATCCAGAACGAGATGGGAGCAGCCGAGGCCATACCGCCAGCCACGGCCCAGTCGGAAGGCCGGGCATATCCGAACACCCGTTTCAAATGCCTGATAAAGATGTGAGCTTGTGACAAATTCTTAAAATCCGGGGTAAAGCGTACGGGTCGGAATCGATCAACTGTGGGATATGTTAGCCAAAAACGTACGCGAACGAGCAGTTGGGGACGGAAAAGTAGCAGCTCCAGTTCATGCTGGATCTATCATACCGGGTAGTCAGTGTTAGCCCGCTTAGAGGGCACAATGGCTGTTTGGGTATCGGTCGCCATGTTGCTTGAGGTGTAGATGTGCAGGCATTCGAGGTTGAAGTTCTGGGAGTTAGAGGGAGAGACTAAGCTAACCTTATTCGGTCTAGTACAACTAAGGCGGACAAGAGGCCCGACAGCCAATCAGAACGCAGATAACTGGCTACTCGCGTCACGCGTCAAGGCGGCATCTGATTGATTGATATGGGGATATTCCAAGATAGGTATCTCATACACAGTTGAATTGCTCCAATCAAGGTGCTGACTCTTTTTTTTAACCCTTCAGACAACGTGGTACTCTCAAACCGGCTCCTTGATATAATTGCACTTACAACAGTATCTGCGCGCGAGTGAAATTATGGCGAACGCGAACGTTTCAGAGCGAGGAAGCTCACCGACAGCGGGTGATTTGAACGATCTTTTTGATTATGACATCGGATTAGATGAGATTGTTCCGGATAATAATGCTCCCAATACCAACAGCACCAAGGCCTCTGGGGCAGGGGATTCGGCACTTGGTTTGGGTCTTGATGAAGAAGTCAAAGTCGCCAAGAAACGACAAGCTGTGGCAAAACTAGATGAGAGCCGGTGAGTCTCATATGCCTGCTTCCTGATTGAAATCCTTCTTCTGTTTATGAAGAACACCTGGAGCTGTAACAATGCTGATAAATAGGCTAGTTTACTCTCACAGCCAGGCATCCCCAAACTGCGACATACTGCCAGACAGAAGCTGAAATTCAAGGGCAAAGGACACGAGGTTCGCTCTCTTGTCTATCCAACATACTCAAGGCGTGATTAGTGTAACTGACTTGTGTTCGCTATAGTTCAAGGATGCCGCACGCCTGCTCAACTTTTACCAGCTATGGCTTGATGATCTATTCCCACGCGCAAAATTCGCAGACGGCCTGACAATGATTGAGAAACTGGGACACTCGAAACGCATTCAAGCCAAGCGACGAGAATGGATAGACGAAGAGAAACCGAGACTTTTTGATAGCTCTGGACCTACGCGGGAAGAGCTCGAACATCGGCATGTGCACAAGAACACTGCAGATTTCAATCATAACCCAGCCGGTATTACTCATGATCAGGAAGGGACTACCGAGAAAGACCTGTTTATTCCAGACCTAAACGAGAGCGCGCGGCCTACAATCAGCTACCCCGAGCCCGAACCCGAGGACGACGATTTGGATGATCTTATCAGAGAACAGGATGAGCCAATGACTGATTTCCCCCCGACATCCGTGCCTCGTCTTCCCGAACACCAGATGACGATAACGACGACTATGATGCTGAATACGAAGCGATGAAGGAGCTTGGGATGTAACCGTGAAGGCACTTTGTACAATACATAGATTTTAATGACAGCGGTGGAATATGTTCAACCTCGGGGCAAGCCCGCTGATACCTGTTTAATCAAATCACCTAGGCTATGCCTTGTATGGCCCAGATAGGAATTGAACCCCAGATGAGTCTAAAACTAGAATTACTTGGAACGACATATTAGATCATACTGGAGAGATGGAATTAATTTCAAATAACGTGCTAACGGATGACAATGACTGGAGATTGCAAAGAGACTCTTCATGTACTGTCCTGGAAACGAGCCAACACGTAGAAGACAGAAAAAAGAAACATTAGATGTTATAATGGGGAATAGGTCAATTGAACATATTGACCTCACTCGCTGGCAGGCTCTGTAAACACAGAGAACTGACCACCAGCACCAGCCCAGTTCAATTTCTTTCCGCGGGTAGCAGTGTTGTCGATAACGGTAGCCACTTCGATATCATCTTGTGTACCTTGTCCAGTTTGGTACGTGGCCGAGAATCCCCATGACCATGCACGGCCATCGGCATCGATAACGAGAGAATGGTCCGAGGCAGCTGCCACAACCTTGGCCTTGATTCCAGGAATGGGGGTAGGTGCGATCAGGATACGGGGGCGATCGCGCTCATCTTTGATAACGGCATCATTGGCAAGAGTATCAATCTTCAATCCACTTTGGAAACCGTCGAGACGGCCCCAAACCAAGCACTCACCATCGCCAGCAATGGCAGCAGAGTGATGAGCGCCACCGCATATTTGTGAAATATTACGGCCAGAAAGTGATTCGACCAGGGTGGGATGCACGATAGCGGCTTCGTCGTCGCCGGCACCCTCGCGGATGGCCGTTGCACCGAAGCTATTCAATCCCCAGGCATAGACATTTCCAGTGGCGTGAACAGCAAACGAGTGGTACGAGCCACTCCCGATGTGGACAATGTTCTTGGGGAGACCGAACTCCCGAGGCTGAAGACCGTTTAATCTGTTGCGCTCCACGATCCTGCGACCGAGCTGATTCTGCTGACCAGAGCCCCACGAGTAGACGCGACCTTGGTCATTCAGGGCAAGAACGTGATTGGCTCCGCAAGTCAGGTGTGTAATCTTTTTCAAAGACGAGATCAAAGTTGGGGTAGTTTGAACGTGAGAGGACGCGTCGAATCCGAGAATCCCATCATTGCTCTAGAATTGTGGTTAGTAAAGAA